GTCCATATTTTCTCTGGGTCACCCAGCCCACAGGCACAGGACCACCTATAAAAACGCCCCCCTCCCACGCCCTCTTCGACATCAGTCTCCCACTCCCCCTATCTCCCCCTGCAAAAAAAAAGAAAAGGCCTTGGGTCATCGTCTGCAGTGCGACCCGAGGATTAGAGAAATGAAAACGCGGGCCTGGGTGCATTCGCTGTGGGCAGTGTGGGGCCAAAGGAAAAGCGTTGTGTCCCCGCATCGAGCTCGAAGAGCGAGTGCAATTTCTCAGATGCGGGGAACACATTGACAGCAAAAAGAAATGTTCTTGGTGGTTCAATGGTGAACGACATTTTGTTCGTTAGATCGAACAAGGACTTTATCAACACATGAATATAGGTACATGGTTGTTTTTGTTTTGCATTTATGTTTTAGGCTTTAATCCGGATCTGTTTACATACCCGTATTAGTGGGCTTCTTGTTGCTTGGATAGCGTCGAACCCTTCACCTCTTCGTATCTGATTGTATATCTTGTTCTTTGGAGAGCGGGTTGAGGTTTCCAACTCTGGTCGGGAAAGTTGTGTAGTGGGTGTCAACTTGGGTACCGGGTCAGGATTACAACTGTGGACCTAGATTGTGTAGCATGAGCCAGTTTTGGATAGTAGTGTGGGGTTCGGTCCACAAACCGACATTCTTGGCAATGTGTGGTTCCCTTCAGTATTACGGGGCTCCAATTAGAGGTGAGAGTAGAGACTTGGACTCAAACTGTCGATCAACTGAGCTACTGGACTTTCTGAAAATTATTGACACTGTGTTGCTTGTGTTAATAATAAGATTGTGACTCTTTTGTGAGGTATTGTATTTTAATTGTCATTGGTGGATATTGTTGATGTGCAATGTTATGCTGTCAATGAAATTGTAACGGTGTAAGGGACTGACAAGGGCGGATGCGGGCGGATACAGGTGGGTGCGGGCAGGAAAAATTTAGGGCTTGGATCCGGGCGGGTAATGATGTTCTTAAGGGTTTTTTTCGGGTTTTTTTCGGGTTTTTTTCGGGTGCCGGGGGGGTCGGGCGCGGGGCTGAAATTTCAAAAAATGTTTCGGGTCGGTGGGGTCATCTTTGATAGGAAATTAAAATTCCCGGGTCGGGTGGGCGGCACAAAAAAAAAGTTGGGCCGGTTGGGTTAGAGGTGGAAAAAAAAAAAATTGCCACGTTTGTGGCACGCTCAGCGCTGGCAAATGGGTGGGATGAGTATATTCACAAAGACAAAAAGTTGTTTGGAAGACAACCTTAGTCTTATTCTTCTGTGTTATCTAACTCTTAGGAGTTGAAAAACTGGCATTCTGCAACCCTCACATACTGTCCATCCAACGGATCTGTGTTTCTTCTTATGTGAACCAGCTGCGTTCACTTAGCTGATTTGTGTGGTTTTCAAAGACGCATTGTCATTGTTCCTGTGGGCTAAACGTCGTATAATTGGGCGATTTGGTTCAAGAATTAGCATTTGTTTCATCTCTCTTCCCATTTGGATAGTTTCATGTATACCTGCCCTTTTGGCTAGGACGAGCGGCCGTACTTTTTTGTGGTTTCCTGCTGATAACCTACTTGTCCCAATGTATGGCATTCGCTTAGAAATCTAAGCGAAGAAGGACTTCGTACTTCGTACCTTCCGAGGTGTTCCAGCACATAGCGAGATTACGAGGCTCATATTCGAACCTCAGGATGCTTTTTGGACTTTATCTTCATCTCTTGTGATTGAGAAATGAGAGATGGACTTTCTTCTTTCTGGAGAATCCGTTTCTCATGTCTTGGAAACGATGCAATGTGGAACCATTAGTGCGGTTTTCAAACACACTTTGTCATTGTTCCTGTGGGCAAACACATCTTATAGTCAGGCGATTTGCTGCAAGAACTAGTATTTGTTTGATCTCTCTGCCCGTTTGGATACTTTCATATATACCTTCCCTTTTGAATCCATTGCTCATGTCTTGCAAAACATGCAACGTGGAACCGTCATTGGGGTTACACCCATACTGATACGTTGACTTATCGGTAATATGTTCTCAAAGCTTATAAATCTCCTCCTGCCCTTGAAGTCACATTGCAAAACAATCTTTGTGATTCCCTCCCTCACAAACCATTGGCTATCACAACAGTCACTTCCTCTTATCTCGACATGACTTTCTAAGGAGTGATCTTTACTCTTTGTAAGAACAATACGGAGTTTTATCAGCAGTGTGGTATTCGATGGTGCTAGATTGTTCAGAGTGCTGTTGAAGTGGTGTTGACCTCACGTATAATGCACCCTCTCTTCATGTCCTTTCTTTGTGCTCGGTGAATTTCATCAACATGTACACCAACCTTCCTCTCAACCTCGTATGAACAATGTGGCAAAAAATGTTGATGAAGCTTCATGCTTATGCCCGTTGGCATACTTGCGTGCGAGCGTTCAAGCTGAACTTCCATCAATGTGGTGGTTTGGTAATCTGAGGGCCTTGTTCCGGTCGATGGACCATTGATTCTATCCCGAACGCCCTCTTTGTGTCTCAGATTCTTCAACATCGTTGCCTTGTTGTCCAGAACCCTATCTGTAGACCTTAGATCGCACACTTCTGAACCTGATTGTGAACATTCCAATGATAACTAATGCTGGCTTGGTAATAGCCAATCTGACAATTTGCCGGGATGAAAAGTAATGAAATGCCCTCAACATGGTGGTTTGGTGATTCGAGGTTCTTGTTGTGATCAACGGACCATTGATTCTATCCCGTATACCCTCTTTGTGTCTCATCTGTAGCCTTCAGATCACACACTCCTGAACCTGATTGTGAACATTCTAACACTAACTAATGTTGGCTTGGAAATAGCCAGTCCGGCACTTCGTTGGGATGAGAGAGTAATTTGTTGATGACCTTCGTCAGCATGATATCTGAGCTGCTTAACAGCATGCATTCACCTATTGTCTCATTGATGATGCTGTTTGTGGGGGGCATTAAGACCTCCAGCAGAGCATCACGACCTTGACTGGAAGGAAACTGAAGTGTCTGATCGGTCCTCCTATACCTTTTCAGGTTAGACCTACGGGTCTGCTTTGATTGCTTGCATCACATGAGCAATTGAGCATCTTTGATAAAGTGTCTCCTTGGGATTTCCTTGTCACTCGTTATCCGAGCTCCAGCATCCCTTCCCATCAAGTGGCTGCTGTGGTCATTGGGCGACTGACCAGATCTGAACATATCGTTAACAATTGGTGGGACTTCCAAACCGTGGCAACATCACTACTCACTTCATGCTCTCTTGTGGGGCACCCTCCATCTTCCTTGGCCGAGGGATTCACCTGTTAGGTGCGCTCTTGGTAGCACTGGTATTCTACCATGTGGCACGTCTCTCTCAGTGGTTCTTCTTGGTCATCCGCTGGAGATAAGCCTGCAGTCTCTGGTGCTGGTATCCCTTCAGTGTCCTCTGTCAGTGACACACCTAGGGTTTCCTCTGGTAAACAGCTGAGCCCGGGCGCCGTCTACTCTCGCCCGCTACTCTCTTTTTGTGTGGAGGGGGAGATGACTGCCCTCCTCTGCTCCTCCTCCTCGGTCTTGCCTGCAAACCGACTCCTACTGATCCACCCCCATTTCTGCAGTAATGCTTATTTCCAGTTTGTCATGCCAGAACTCCTCTGTGTATCTTTTGTTGTGCACTACATTTTTGCTGATCCCCAGATCAATAACCTGGTCCATTATCTGTCTTGGTTCTTGCTGTGCCTCTTCCCCATGTTGGTGCGGTCCCTTGTCTCCTCGGTCTTGCCTGCAACCTGACTCCTACTGTTCCACCCTTATTTCTGCGGGAATGCTTATTTCCAGTTCGTCATGCTAGAACTCCTCTGTGTATCGTCCATGTTGTTCACATCATTCTTGCTGATCCCCAGATCAAGAACCTGGTCCATTATCTGTCTTCGTTCTCGCTGTCGCTCTTCCCCACATTGGTGCTGTTTCTTGCTCCACACTGCAATATTGACTCGTGTGTCCCCTGCAGACAGTCCAGCTCCCTGCGGGCAGTCATGAGACCATGATTCGTCCTCTAGAGAATTGGAGATGTGATGCACCTTCTGAGCAGGATGCAGTCCCCAATCAGAATACCTCTGGAAGCCCCGGGATTTGAATGTCAGTTATCTGAATTGCGGACTGCCTGCCGGGTATTTCAGACGTGGAACATCGCCTAGGTAATTTGCAAATTGTTGGCCAGTGTCCGGTACTCTTGCCCGTTCAAGGGCAATGAGGAACATCTCTGTGATCCCCGGTGCTCTACTTTCATTGAGAACCTCCCCATTCCCAGTCGTCCAGCTGCTACTGTACGGCGTCAGACTTTCTTGCGATTGCCCTTCAGCTTGATGTGGATCTTCCCTGCCTCGAGGCAGAAGGCAGTAACTACCAGGGAAGAAGGCTTTATATTTGAGCTCCTGCAAATTGCAGGGAGGCACAACCAACTTGAAGTTGCTCCCTTTATTATCTTAATTTATGTTGATTATGAAATAAGAACAACCCCCTGCAAGGAATTGAAAACTGATTCTTAGCCCCACAATTTCAGAAACAACCCCCTGGAAGAAGCTGAAATTTTATTTGTACCCCCAATCGAAGCCTACCCAGACACCAGGCATCTGACCATATTCACTGTTGACATGCATTCTGGCAGCAGTATCAACGGAATTTCAAATTTTCTGGGACATTTTTCCTATTCCTTCCCCTCTCCCTCCCTCCCCCTTCTGCCTGTCTCCTTCTCTCACCCCCTCACCTGCATATATTTTTTTTCTGGGTGGTTTCTGCACATACTTTTTGTGGGTGGTTTCCGTGCATTCTTTTCTGAGCGGTTTCTGATTTTCAGAGGTCGGCTTGCGGTCAGATGAGCAGTGGTTGTATGGTTGTGGGGAGCTTCCAAGACGGATGCTTCCCAGGAAAAAAAACAAAGGGAGTTTTTTATTAGAATGTTCCTTTGTGTGCTGATACCGCACTCTACTTCTTTGTGTGTTCAGGTTGCTGCTGACATGGTATCCCAACTTGAATCTAGCTATGTACCAATGACCGACTTCCCAGTACGTGTATTTCCCTGCCCCCATCACCTCCTCCCCCTCCCTTCCTCCCTCCCTTCCCTCCCTGCCAGTTCTACTTCTTTGTGTGTTCAGGTTGCGGCTGACATGGTATCCCAACTTGAATCTAGCTATGTACCGATGACCAGCTTCCCAATACGTGCATTTCCCTGCCCCCATCTCCTCCTCCTCCTCCTCCTCCCTCTCCCTTTCTCCCTCCCTTTCTCCCTCCCTGCCCTCCCTGCCAGCTCTACTTGTTTGTGTGTTCAGGTTTATGCTGACATGGCATCCCAACTTGAATCTAGCTATGTACCGATGACCGACTTCCCAATATGTGTCTTTCCCTGGCCCCATCTCCTCCTCCTCCTCCTCCCTCCCTGCCCTCTGGTGTTCTCTCCCCCCTCTCCCTTTGGAAGAAAAAGAAACACATAGGGAAAAAAAAGGAAGTGTGGGGTAGCCTCCCCTCCTCTTGTATCCTCTATGGCCTGTAACGGGAAAAGAAGGGAAAACACACCAAGCAGGATTGCCCCTGCACCATTCTGGGGAGCATCAGTCCGGTTCCTATTCCACCGGCAAGTCAGAAAGAAATATTACATCATGATGCACACTCACGCTTCCTTCCGTCCTGCCGAAGGAACCCTGACCAGCATTGATTACTCCCGCATCGTGGAGGATTGACTGTCAGCTTGCCTTTCTTACACCTTTCCTCTCAGGTCCACTACATGAGCCTGCCAGATAAATAATGAAGAGCAAGAAAGGTAAGAGAAGCTACGGAAGTTGCAGTCGCGGGATTCACCCTCCAATATTATGTGACCTGTGATGGATATTGTCCTTCTGCTAGCTGGGATCTCTGCCTTCTCCACCCTGCTTAAGAGTTGTGCCAGTCTTTCCATTGTATGTGGAAGTCATTTCTCTCTGCCACTTTGCCCCTTGCAAGCCACACCTTAGTCAATTTTGCCTTGATTCTTCTCTGTTGCTCTTCGTCATCTGGCATGGACTGTCTCGTCTTGTGCCGCTTTACATCTCGGCCTGAATCAAAGTCTCTGTCTCCGCCCATACCTTCTCCCTTGGAGTTGAGAGTCCCTCAATGGTTCTACAGCACCTTTCCTTCCAGATGGACCACAGCGTTATCTTTCTGATCATCCCAAACCACGTTTTCTCTGTCTTGTGGAATTGAGCTGGGATGTTAGTCCATAGGAGTTGGATGGGGTGTTCAGGGAGAGGAGACGAGAAGAGGGAATCCCAGAGATCCGAGGCCCTCGCCCAGTATTCAGTCGCCTCTCAGCCAGGGCCGTAAGGACCTGTTAAAAAAAAAAAAAAAAAAAAAAGGTTATCGAATCCCAACCAAAAATCATCATCCCCATTTGAACTCTCCCAAATTGGAAAGCTCTGTCCATTCCTCTTTCTCCTCTTGTGCCACTGCCGAACTAGGTCACCCCCTCCCCACTCACCATGTGCACCCTTATTTGCCCCCCGCGCTCAGTCATCCTCTCTTCCTTCCTCTCAAAGATTCCTTTAGATGGGCAGCAGATGAGAGACATTTGTTTCTCTGTTCTTTCAAGGGCGCGAACTGTACGCAAGCTGGGATCCATTCTGAGACCGAATGTAGATGTGAGGAGAGGAGGGTGCTTCTCTCACCAGCTCATGTAGCCCCTGTTCCATGGACCTCTGTATCTGCATGATCTCCTGCTCTGCTTCTTTGATTTGTTGCTCCTTTCTGTGCACAATGCATATTCCAAACCCGAAAGTATCACCCCGGGGAAAATAGCGACAGAGTAGTAGAATGCCATATAGAATGAGTGAAAAATGGATTCAGAAAAATGTTCAGAAAAACCAGAGAATTATGGACATAACACCCAGCAACTGGCAGCTAGCATAATGTCTAAGACTTTTCAGCCAAAAAGAAGAAAAACGAAGGATACTCGTCAACATGTTCGTGAGTCTGCAGGCCCTGGCTGCCCTCATAAGAGGCCGCCCGTGAAAAATTGGTGCGCCCTAAGCGATCTGGGCAAGAAATTGGCCCCTCGATTGGAGCCCAGCCCAGGTAACTACCCAGGAGGCCCAGTTGGGATACCGGCTTGGTAGTTACATGAGCTGGGACAGAACAAAAGAAGGAGAGGCCGGGGCAAATGACACATTCGGACTGTGGCAACATGCAGCAGCGCATGCACTCAGCAAGAGCCTGAGAGAAAGAAGAAAGCCCCCGCGGTAGTTTCTAGGCCATTGAGCAGGAATTGGGTGACGAGATGGTGGGGGTAGAAGGGAAGAGGAGGACGACAGTGGGAACAGGCGGCCACTTGCGTGATGTTGTCCGAGGAGCACCTCATGTGATCAGACTCTTCAGCGACATGTGGCGAGAGGAGAGTGAAAAATGAGTGAGAGGGAGTAGGCTAGTGTATCAAGGTCGAGTAGGAGAGTAGTATAGGCGGACACATCATACCAGGGCTACTACATTGCTGTTGACACTTGTTGTATTGATTGCTGGAGGTGCGAAGAGGGATTTCCTTGTCAAAAAAAAAAAAAAAAAAAAGATTACCCCTGCACCTGATGAACCCCTTACATTGTCACCCTCAATAATGATCTGAGGGACACGCAGCAACACGAAGTTACTGTGACTGGTAAATTTCTTCACAATGGTGTAGGCCACAATAGTTAGTTCTCAGCTCGTCAGGGGTGTGTTTTATGCCCCTGAGAACATGTTTCGTCATCGTTCGTTATACGGTCGTTGGAAGGCTAGAAAAAACAAGGCATGACAGTTCAGGAGGTGGTGGCATCTTATTTGAAACTGCAGGACCGGTAGCTGCCCGTGGGACCGCACGGGTTTTGGTCCAGGACCGCGTAGGACCGGTAGCTGCGTGTAGGAGGCCGAGGAGGCTGCAGTCCTTTTCCGAAATTGAAACGGTGCGGGTCCACTTTTCTCGAATAGCAGAGTTCCTCGAATAGAAAACGTACACGTATTCGAATACAACCTGTGGTCCTGTACCCTTTCTATTCGGATTTCGAAAAGAAAAAACTCTTGTATTCCGATAAAATTACTACTTCTTTTTGTTGGAGGTCAGCGCCTGCC